CAACTTTCCAAGGTCAAAAAAATAACATTATCTTATAAATCTCTTTAAATTGTACAACTTTTGTCTGAAATATTTTTCTCTAAAATGTACTGTTCAAAAGATATTTTAGGACGTCAATTAAAGTAAAATACTCTCTATACAGAGTAATTCAGAACAACTCTTTATCCTTGAAAATACATATTTCTGACTAAATTCTAAAACAGCTTTTTATTTGACAAAATTTTGTCTGAAGCTTACTTTTTGAGTTATTAACAAAAATAGGTGACTTACCACGAGTCGGATACAAGAGGTTGGCAGGGGTGGCGCAACTCACCGTCAGACACGGGTGATTACATGTGGTGCCTGACGCGATCAGCTGATCGCTACTATGTTTCTGCTACACTGTTTCTGTCTCTGTCTCTTTCTTTCTTTTTCTCTCACTTATTTATTTATTTATTTGTAATTTGTATCACTTAATTCGTGCATCACATAAATCACTGTAAATCACGGTGAATTGTGCCGCTCCTGCCTATCTCTTGTATCCAACTCGTGATAAGTCACCTATTTTTAAAGTTAATATAATGTAAAGTCTATAAAGAGCCATCGCGGGATGTTGTGCGTGAAAATATGACTGTGCATATATCTATGCAACAGAACTCACATTTACATGTGAGTTTTTTAATTGAAATTTTAATTCTATCAATTCATATAGGATGCTAGTTTTGCATCACATATACGAACGACCCCGAATACCTATTTTTATTAATAACTCAAAAAGTAAGCTTCAGACAAAATTTTGTCAAATAAAAAGTTGTTCTAGAATTTAGTCACGAATATGTATTTTCAAGAATAAAGGGTTGTTCTGAATCACTCTGTATATTTAATAATTGTAACAAGATCTCTCAACTAATAACTCACACACTACTTTTATATCTCATTGCTTTTGATATACAAAATCTTGGCATGTATATTTGTCAATATTAATAATTTGCCGAAATTTATCTGCGGTTTTTTACATTTAAGATTTTATTGTCATACAACATATCCATTTGTCATTACCTGTAACAATTATGTTTAAAAAATTATTTTTTTTTAAACTGTGTTCTTTTAAACAAATATAGACATATTAAACTTTCTTTTTATTTGTCAAGTTGAGCGTATAAATGTACTTAATCTTCTGAATGTTCCTCAAAGCCTGAAATGAACGCTTAAATAAGTTTTTTTGAGTAACTCTGATGTAACGAGTTTCCATTGAGTTTGAGCAAAGTTTTCAAAAGGTGTTTAAAACTTCCATTTTTTTCTTTTTAGTTAGCCGATATATTCGTGATCTGTAAGATCAAAACTTTTACTTTGAAATACTTAGTACCAGTTTTTTCTTGTGTTTTATACGTCACTGCACTTTTACGCAAAACGGAACAAATCATTTCAGTGAATTTTGCTGTGTTCTTTAGTTGAAACTCGAAAAGATTATGTTTTGAATGCTTTTCAAATGCCATTGTACTTACTACTGCTTTATTTGATTATACATATTGTTTGCTTCACCAAAACATATAGTATTTTTTAAGACAGTTTTTTAGAATTTTACACTTGCAAACCGCAAAAGAGCAGAAGTATATGAACTTGTAATAAAGTTATAAACATCGAATTAATATATAAAGACACTTAATTAATTGATTTATTAATTATACAAGGTGTCCCAGAATTGGTGTAACATCTCTTGTGAACAAGGTGGAAGGAGTAAAACTCAGTCAAAATGTCCTATACCATTTTGCTAAATTTGCAATAGTTACCGAGATCTTAATTAACAAAAATCAGCGAATAAGCATGCATCGGGCTGTCTTACACGCGTAAGACAGCCCAGTGCGCTTTGCGCGCTAACGGTGTTACCCATAGCGACATATGGGAGGAGCTAATATAACAGCATATACTATAACATATACATATTAAAATGTAATTGTGCGAAGCGCGCCGGGCTGTCCTAAGCGCGTAAGACAGCCCGATGCACGCTTATTCGCGGATCTTTGTTAATTAAAATCTCGGTAACTATTGCGAATCTAGCAAAATGATATAGGACTTATCGACTCAGTTTTACTCCTTCTACCTGTCTACGAGAAATGTTATACCAATTCTGGGACACCTTGTATACGACAATTTTAATTACTTTGGTGAAGCGGTAGAGCATGATAATCTTGCAATGCGGGTTCGAGTTCTGTTGTGATTTCTGTTATTTTTTATTTGTTATTTTTTTAATTTCAATTTGCTAATATTTTACATTAATTTTTGATTTTTATATAATTTTTTATTTACAATAAAACAATGTTAAAAAATTAGTAATTATGTCGCTTTTATTTAACTTTTATTATAATTGTAATAACTTTAAAATATAAACAACTTAAAAATTATAGTAAAATAATAATAAAATTTAAAAAAAGAAAAAATAAGAGTCACGAGAACTCGAAGAATCAGTAAAATCATTGCCTGTATGCTCAACTACTGCGCCATCTCAAAGTAATTGAAATTTAGTTCTACAAAACTAAGGAATATTGCGTTGCATGTCAAAATAAAACAGCTATAATATGGACATTTTTAAAACATCTAAATGTAAATATACTTAGTACGTCCAATAATGTATACATTTTTAAAACATATATATAATGTTCATGGACGTTTGGACTAAATAAGACCCAAATTTGGACGTCCAATGGATGTTGGTGCTGTCTGGGTTGGTTGCAATACGAAATCTATAAGTATTTCTCTATACATTGCGACTTTCCGCACAAAGTTTATTTGTCGATTCTTTTAAATTCTCTTGAATAGAAACTTACATTAAGAAGATCTTGTGTGAAATAAAAAAGTTTTTATTTGAAAGTTGAGTTTTTATTTTTAGTAATAATAGTTTGTGATTTTGAATATTTCTAGTAGTATTGCTTTCCTAATTTTCATTTAAAGTAATTTAAAAAAAGATAGTAAATATAATAATTTCATTATTATCAAGTATATAAAAATGACTTCGGCCTCACATGATCTTCTTAGTGGGAATTGGAATATTGAGAGACTTGTCCGAGAAGGTTTATCTTCTCGAGAAGTGTGTGTTGCGTGGTGTCAGAGTGTTTTTTATGATCATATTATGATTTGCGTTTTTTATGATCATCCGGGGAGAGGTGCAGGAAAAGGGGCAAATCCTTTCTCTTGCAGGGAACAAAGTTCTCCTTTTGAGGGAAGTCCCACTCTGCTTACTCACTTACAACACAAACATAAAAACTTACTTTTTTTTATTGAGTTTTAAAAACTTACTACATATTATATAGAATCAATTTTAATCAATGTAGGTTTTCTTTTTTTTTAAATTTGTTTTTCATTTCCCGAAGTAGAAACTACGCGCGTTTTATTTGTCTTATCGAATTCTATTGTTATGCAAAATTTCAGATCAATCGGGAGCAGGAGTCATTTGGAAGTATATCTTATTGTATATATATTATTGTGTATACAGGGTGTTCAACAATTAGTGTAAAATTTCTCGTAGGCAGGTAGAAGAAGTAAAACTGAATCGAAAAGTCTTGAACCATTTTTTTCTATTACATATAATAAAGGATTACTTATTAAATAAATTAAGCCAGTCAGCGCCGACCTTTAGCCGAACGCACATCAGTGAACCACGCGCTTGGTATGCGTGAGCGCTCCGCGCGGCTTACTGACGTGCGCTCGGCTAAAGGTCGGCGCTGAGTGGTTCGATTTATTCAATAATTACTCCTTTATTATATGTAATAAAAAAACTTGATTCAGGACTTTCCGACTCAGGTTTACTCCTACCTACCTACAAGAAATTTTACACTAATTGTCGGACATCCTGTATATATTTATATACATATACAGAGTGTTTGGTAATTGCTGTCTCATCGCTCGTATGTAAGTAGAAGGGGTTATTCTAAGACAAAAACTCCTATATTACGTTGGAAGATTCGCAATAATTAACAATATATTAATTAATAAAGATCCGCTAATCAGCGTGCATCCAAAGTAAGGACAGCGTGAGAACAATCTTTCGCGCGGACGCGCCATAGCGACGGAATGGGAGGAGCTAATAGAATAACATGTATATAAACATAAACAGCATATAGGCAGCGTTCTGGCAGCGCGCTATCTGCGCTATTCTGCTCTCATTCTATGTTTGTTTTACATCTAACAAACGATAAAAATACAATGATGCAATAGCGCAGATAGCGCGCTCCACGAACGCAGCCTATACGTTGTTTATGTATACACATGTTATTCTATTAGTTTTTCCCATTCCGTCGCTACGGCGCTGTCCTTACGCTGAATGCACGCTGCTTAGCGGATTTTTATTAATTGATATCTCATTAAGTATTGCGAATCTTCCAAAGTGGTATAGGACTTTTCGTCTTAGAATAATCTTTTCTACCTACCTACGAGCAGTGAGATAGTAATTACTAAACACCTTGTATATATACAAAGCGTCTGACAACAAACGAATAAGCCGAAGTGTGTAAGTAGATCGGATCAATCTGAGAAAAGTTATTTACCCCTTTTCAAACTTCGCAATAGTTATAAAGATATAAATTAATAAATGTAAGCCAATAAGCGCGCGGGGGGCAATGATCGAACTCTATAGGTGTGCACGATTATTAGTCCTCGCTTGCCGCTGCTCGCTCCGTACTGCCAAATAGCGCCCGATTGCAAGAAGCTGTGTCGCGCCGCGTTTGTTTGTTTCTCCGCCTCTCGTTGCTAAAACGTTGCATGAGAGAAGCTTTTTCTTTACAGCTGATAATCGTGCACGTCTATAGAATTTCTTTATCATATAAATTATTCCAATTATTAACTCAAGTAGGTGAGGTACTATAACACATAATAAACAAAACTTTTCGTGAGGTACTACTATGTGTAGAATAAAATTTTGTTAAGTTAACGTGAAGCTTGTTGGTTTTTCAATGACATATTTTATCTATAGATGTATATAAAAATATTTATAGATATACAAATAAAGAAATATATGTATATATTACTTTGGCGACTTGACAAAGACCGCTAGCAGGCTCCGAATGACCCATATTTGACTTAACAGAACCAATCAGTAGAGGTGTAGTTCTGCAACTACAAATAACTCTGTCGATTGCGTTAATCTCCTCAGAATCGCCGGCTCTTGTACCACTACCATGACATTCCATGAAAGACAAATTGTTCGGTGCTATACCGCATTCTTCGTAGCATTCTTGCAACAATTTGGCTTGCATCGTGCTCAAAGGGAATGTGATACCTTGAGGTTTATAACCATCACAATTTGTTTTGCCGTGAACGACTGTAGCATAGATCCTTTTTGCGTGTTTTGCTTTTTGAAGATATACAACGACAATAGCTTCACTACGAGCATAGCCGTCTGCGTCGGCGTCGAAAGCTTTGCTGCGACCATCGGGTGACAATACACCTGAAATAATTAAAAAAAAAATACTTTATGTTTTGAATATTCTTTATTTACTTATTTATAATTTTTGTAAATAATCACTAATCTATAAAAACAAAATAGATTATAGTATGGAAAATTTTATATTGTACACATATATAGTCATTATATTATTTGCTATTATCAGACCTGTTAACAAACAAAATGTGTGTAAATCATAACCTATTCTATCAGTCTTAATTGTTGCTATTTTTACCCACAAATTTATATCAGTATTTTTTGATTATACATTCACAACCTTTATACAAACCAAAATACAAAACTACCAGATGACGTCACATACCGCTATATAAAAATACTGGTATATCGATATTTATATTAATTATCTATATTTAGCGGTATTTTATTCGGTTTTCATATATTGTTTCACATTTTACAATATTTTAAGGCAAGAATTTCAAGTCACTATACCAGAAATGATATACTATTCCTAATATATGTAGCTGTTTTCAATTTGTAAAAACAACGGCAGCTTTCTTTTTCTACTTATATTTTTACTTATATTTTTAAGATACTTTTATTGTAAGTATATATATCAAATTACACCGTTTAGGCTGCAATTTTGGAAAAATGTAGGATAATACAAAATAATTGGTGATAAATGCTTGGTTTTATTATACATTATACATTTACAGTTTGTTGTTAGCTCTAAGTACTAAAATATCATCAAGAATATTGCCCGTTAAATTATAAGTAAATTCGACAATATATATTTTAAAGAAGAGAATAATCTTTCGACACTAAGTTGTGTCGGAGGCACTAATAAAGCTATTTCGGTTAATGAGTACAACTCCGGTATATTATATTTGTTCTTATTCCAAAATTTTTAAATATTTTTTTGGAGTCTAAACGAGGATATTCTAAAAATTGTTTTAGCATATTCATGATGTCTAAAGTATAGGTAAAGCTAATAAAGGTATTATCACGGTGTTTTCTAAATCTCTTAACATCTTTTTTACATTATCTGCCTCACATTCATCTTGACATGCAATTGAAGTACAGAGGAGTGCACCATATCGTGCCGCGTAAGGAGAAGTATTTCTCCTCTGGCTGCCCCTACCACCGCGCGCCGTCCTCCGCGACCGGCCCGAGATCCGATCCATATACTGTCGCGGTCGATAATACCAATGCGGTTATTGATAATACCGACGCTCGTGTGTTCTTATCATAATCACGAGCATCGAAAAAAAACAATACGTCAAAAATTCTGTACATTAAAATCTGACAACGGAGTTTCGTTAATAAACCGTCGAGTTTTATATGTTATATGTATAAAATATATAATATATAAAATATATAATTTTGGATCATAAA